CTTATTATTATTGACAGAATTTATTCTTAACAAAAATATATATTTTTGGAAAACTTATATTTAGAAACTATCTATTAAATATATCTTTTGATAAAACTTATCTTTTACGAAAAGAATTATTTGGGTGTACTATAAATATGCTCATATGTGTTCATTCAAAGTTGAGGCTGAATGTGAGGAATATTTCAAACATCAAATTTGAGCCCCACTGTGATCATGCTTTTAGGCATGGTGACGTCCGAAGAGTCGTGTGTTCGTGATGAACAGCCGTGAGGCTGAAATTGCTAATGATGTGATAATTGATGTTTTCCTTATAAGTTCTTTGCCTGTGAAAGTTTTGTTTGATTCAGTGGCGTCTCATTCTTTTATTTCTAAGAGAGTAGTTGGAAGTCTCGGGTTAAAAAGTCCTGAGTCAATTTCTCTAGATCTAGGGAAGTGAGGAGTTGTTCCAAGTTATTTATGAGTGTACCTATTTCCATTTTTGGGGTAGAATTTATGTCGGATTTGATCGAGTTTGTTTTGAAGGATCTTGATGTAATTTTAGGTATGGATTTGTTGAGAAGGTATGAAGTAAAGATTGATTGTGCAACTAAAAAGGTTACTTTGACTAACCCAAGTAAGGTTAAAGTGGTGTATAAAAAGGAAGGGAAAAGTTCAGGGTTGAGAATTATTTCTGCAATGCAACTACAGAAGCTGGTTAAGAAGGGTTGTCCTCTGTTTTTGTGTAGTGTTCAAGAAATTGAAAGTGAGGAAAAGAAGGGTGATGGAAGTATTCCGGTTGTAGAGGAGTTTCCGGATGTGTTTCCAGATGAGATTCCTGGTATGCCACCAGTGAGGGATGTTGAGTTCACTATCAACCTAGTGCCTGGTACTAGACCTATTTCTAAAGCTCCATATAGGATGGCTCCAGCTGAGACGAAAGAGTTGAAGACTCAGTTGGATGATCTGTTGGAGAAAGGTTACATTTGACCTAGTTCCTCGCCTTGGGGAGCTCCAGTGTTGTTTGTAAATAAAAAGGATGGAAGTATGAGGTTGTGTATTGCCTATTGATAACTTGTTATTTGGCATGATTTTAGGGTACTTTTGAACCTTGTTTTCGTTATTAATCGACATCAAAGTTCATTTTTTATCCTATTTTTATGCAAATTTTGTACCATCCATGCTTCACCGGTTGTTTGTGTTTTTGATGTAATGTAGCTATTTTTAGCACTATGGAAATGATCAAGCATGAGTGAGCAAGGATAAGGGCAAGCTTGGTTGATAGAGCCATGGAGGAAGAAGGAGGAATGCCTTAAAGGGAAATGAAAAGCTTTTGGAGAACCTTGAAAGGTCGTTTGCATAAGCGTCAACTTCAACCAACCATAACTTTTGATCTTCTCAACCTTTTGAAGCGATTCAAATTGGAGATTAAAGTTCGTCTCAAGAGCTTTCCAACGACTGGTCACAAGTCCATTTCCGACAAGAAACGTAGAAGTTACAGCTTCCCAAAGTTAAGTAGTCTAGGCAGGGCATCCTACACGGACATGCAAGATGATAGCACGTCCGTGCAAGTCTGCACGTCCGTGCCAAAAGTTGCACGTCCGTGCAGACCTTGGCAGAAGCTTCTGCCTCCATTTTGGCCCTCCTGCACGACCGTGCCAAACTTGGCACGACCGTGCTTAGCCTTGCACGTTCGTGCCAAATCTGGCACGTCCGTGCAGACCTGCAGTCGAACTCCTTCCTTGTTTTCTCCGTTCTTTTTATTTGGGGGTCATATAAATACCCCTTTAGAGCTCATTTGTACGGGGATGCAGTTTTTTAGAGCTTTCCTCTTAGTTTGTAATCTTAGAACATTAAATTCTCAAATCATTAGTTAGTTCTCAATTATTAGCTTGGAAGCATTCAAATTCAATCATTGTAGAAGACAAAATCCACCATTGTTTCTCACTTTGAAGCTTCATAGTAACCATTTCTTACTCATCTTTTCTACTTCTTTTTACTTTGTTGTTGATTACTTGCTTAATTCTTGCATGCTTAGATTGTTAATTAGCTTAATCCTTAGTTTGAACTTGTTCATGAATTGCTTGAAACCTCTAATTGCTTTAACCTCCATGGATTGTGAGTAGTCTAAATTCTAGGGTTTGGGTAAAACCCTCAATGTAGTCACTAATTACTTGTTGCATGTGCTAATTTGGTTGTTGTGGGATGTTAATTAGTTGAGCTTAAGTGGTTTAATTGCTTAGTTCTTGTATATGGCCATTGCTAGAACTATTATCCAAGCTTTCTCAACGAAGGATCGAGAGATGAACTTGAGTTAGCTCCCTTATGCTTGATTGACCCGAAATGCCATGATAATAGGGATTACCGGTCAAGGGAATGTTTATGTCATCGTGATTATGCTTTAACACTTGTTTTATGCTATGTGACCACGAGAGTAGGTTGTATTCATGATTCAAGTAATCCCTCTAGCTTGAGAGAGTAGTTGGGTGCTTTAGATGACTTCCCCTAATTTATCCCATTAATTTACCTTGATTGTTGCATGCTAATTGTGATTTGTGATGAAATTGAGTGGTATAACCCAAGCCTTAGATTCCTCATAATATTGTTAATCTCCTCTTAGCTTTAGTTGAATTGAATTAGAAGAAGTTACTCAAAACCAACCCAATTTAGAATTCATTTAGCTTATTTAAACGATAGTACTTGGTGGTTGATTCAACGCCTCTCTTGGGTTCGACCCTTTCTTACCCTTACTATTGTTAGTGAGACCAAGATAGGAGTTATTATCTTTGGTAGGCTCGACGACGACCTATCACCTATCGAGAGTTGAATAAGGTGACAGTGAAGAATAAGTATCCATTACCAAGGATCGATGATTTGTTTGACCAGTTAAAAGGGGATGGAGTGTTTTCAAAGATAGACTTGAGATCAGGTTATCACCAGTTGAGAATTGCGGAGCAAGATATTGCAAATAGTGCTTATAGGACCCGTTATGGTCATTATGAGTTCACAGTCATATCGTTGGGATTGACTAATGCACCAGCAGTGTTCATGGATTTGATGCATAGGATTTTCAGTCCATACTTGGACAAGTTTGTAATGGTATTTATCGATGATATCTTGATGTATTCAAAGGATGAAGAGGAGCATAAGGAGCATTTGAGACAATTGTTGTCATGTTTGAGGGAGCACCAGTTGTATGCTAAGTTGTCAAAGTGTGAATTTTGGTTGGAAAAAGTAGTATTTTTGGGCCACGTGATTTCCATGGAAGAAGTCTTAGTGGACCCAAGCAAGATTCGAGCTGTCAGTGATTTGCCAACCCCAAAGAATGTGTCGGATGTGAGAAGTTTCTTGGGTTTGATAGGCTATTACAGAAGGTTTGTGAAGGATTTTTCAAGAATTGCGAAGCCTATGACAAGTTTGATGAAAAAGGAGCATAAGTTCTCATGGACTCAAGAGTGTGAAGAGGCATTTAAGACCTTGAAAGAAAAGTTAACCACAACACCTGTGATGGCTTTGCCGAATGGAAGTGATCTATATGAAGTGTATAGTGATGCATCGAGGTTTGGACTGGGATGTGTTTTGATGCAAAGTCGAAGGGTGATTGCGTATGCTTCAAGGTAGTTGAAACCTCACGAAGGGAATTACCCAACCCATGATTTGGAGTTAGCTGCAATAGTGTTTGCTTTGAAGATTTGGAGGCATTATTTGTATGGGGTGACTTGTAGGATTTTCACGGATCATAAGAGTTTGAAGTACATCTTCACCCAAAAGCATTTGAATAGGAGGCAGAGAAGATGGTTGGAGTTTCTAAGGATTATACGTTGGATATTCAATATCATGAAGGAAAAGCTAATGTGGTGTCAGATGCTTTGAGCAGGAAGTCTGAACATTCAATAATGAATGTGATGGTAGTACCAGACCAGCTGTGTGTGGAATTTCAGAAGTTGATTTTGGAAGTGATGGAACATAGAGAAGTGGCTAGGATGTTGAATGCTTTGGTGATTCAACCACCCATTTATGATGAGATATGGGAGAGTCAATTGGAAGATGAGAAGTTGAAGGCGATAAAGAAAAAGATCGATGAAGGTTAGGTGTTGGATTTCACCATTGGTGATGAAGGGAGTATTCGTTTTAAAGGAAGATGGTGTGTACTGTAGAGTCGAGGAGATTTGAAGCAAATATTGATGGAAGAAGCCCATAATTCTCCTTATTCAATGCATCTTGAAGGGGATAAGTTGTATAAGGATATGAAGAAGACTTTTTGGTGGCCAATATGAAAAGAGAAGTAGCTGAATTTGTGGCCAAGTTTTTGACATGTCAGAAAGTGAATATTGAACATCGTAGGCCTCAAGGAAAGGTCCAATCCTTGGACGTTCCCAAGTGCAAGTGGGATTCGATTTCTATGGATTTTGTTGGAGCATTGCCTAAGACTAAGGCAGGGAATGGCACTATTTGGGTAATAGTGGATAGGTTCATGAAGTCAGCAGCATTTATACCCATGAGAAGTACTTGGACTATGGATTAGTTGGGAAGAGATTATGTGAAGTTTGTGGTGAAGTACCATGGGGTACCCACAGATATCATTTCGGATAGAGATTCAAGATTCCCGTCTAATTTTTGGCAAAGTTTGCAAAAGGCGTTGGACTACGGTCAGACGGAAAGAACAATTCAGACATTGGAGGATATGTTGAGAGCTTGTGTGATGGAGTATCAAGGGTCTTGGGAAGACCACTTGGATTTGATAGAGTTTTCTTACAACAACAGCTATCATGCAAGCATTGGAATGACACCATTTGAGGCTTTGTATGGTCGGAAGTGTAGAAGCCTGGTTTGTTGGAATGATGTAAGTGAGACAATGGTAATTGGGCCTGAGATGGTTGAAAATATGGTGAAACAAGTGAATCTGATCCAAGAGAAGATAAAAGCGTGCAGCCTAAGACAGACAGAAAAGTTATGCTGATTTGAAAAGGAGGGAAGAGGAATATGAAGTAGGAGAGAAAGTTTTGTTGAAAATTTCACCCATGAAAGGTGTAATGAGGTTTGGAAAGAAGGGAAAGTTGAGCCCAAAGTACACAGGGCCATATGAGATTATCCAGAAAATGGGAAAAGTGGCATATAAGTTGGATTTGCCAAATGAGCTGGAAAGGGTTCACAATGTGTTCCACGTGAGTCAAATTCAAAAGTATATACCTGATGTAACACATGTGTTGCAACCAGAAACCATCGAGATGGATGAGAATTTGACCTATGAGGAAAGACCAGTAAGGATTCTGGATACTAAAGTGAGAAGTACAAGAAATAAGGATGTGGGTAATGTGAAAGTGTTGTGGTCGAATCAGAAAACTGAGGAGGCTACATGGGAAGCTGAGGCGGATATGAGGAAACGTTACCCAGAGTTGTTTGCCTAAGGTTTGTGGTCGAGTTACGAGGCGTAACTCCTTTTAATGGGGGTAGAGGGCGATAGAGTTTCGCGCGTTTGCTTTTCGAATCATTTTTGAGTGATTTTGAGTCTTTCTTGAGTTGGTTGGAGTCTTGAATCAAGTTAGGATGTGCATGAACCAATAATTTAAAATGATTTTCTTATCTCTTTTGGCTAAGTTTCGGGATGAAACTTCTTTTAAGGGGGGTAGACTGTAATACCCCGTATTTTCTAATTAATTAATTAAATATTATTTTCTAAAAAGGGTATTTTAGTAATTTATTTTACTACTTGAATTTTGGAGCCAAAATGATATTTGAATTTTTGCTCCAAAAGTATTTTAAAATGTAATTATTATTTTTGGATTTTGGATAAGATTTATTATCCATTTATTTTATTTTAAAAACTGGATTATTTATATATATTTCGGATATTTTAATTAAGCAAAAATTATATTTTATTATTTAATTAAGTGATCCAAAAATTCCTAATAATTAGCTAGGGATTTCGGATTTACCTACTGTGGAAAATCTGATTTTCTTAGTTAATTTATTTAGTGAATAATTGGTATTCTCTTAATTAATTATTTTATACAATATATATTATTTACACAATTATTTTTAATCCCTTAAATCTAGCAAAATAATACACAGGGTGTCCAAAAATTTGAGCTATGGAAGCTCAAAAATTTCGGCTACCTTGGTGGATTTTTAGGAGCTTTATTTTGGTAATTTGTATTTTTAATTATCTCCCTTAAATCTATTATTTTTCTTCAATTCTTATTTTCCATCTTCTAAATATTTGATCATCTTATTTCCCTACCTTATTTCATCCTTGATTATTCCCCAAGCAAAGTCCTTTTTGCCATATTATCTTTCATGACAACATACTTTTCTTAATTTTATTATTCTTAGTCACCTTAATATTAAAATTTCCATAATTCTTAAGCTCTTTTCTCCAAGTAATTTCCTTAATTATTTTTACCATAATTCTTCCTACATTCTCCTACCATAATTCTTGCATGAGCTAACCTATAAATACCCATTGATTCATGGCTAAACACTCACACCAAATTCTCTAATTTTCTCTTAATTTCTCTATAACTCTCTTCTCTTTCTCTTGTTCTTGCACCAACCACCAACACCACCAAACACCACAACCACAACCACCACCTCCGGCTGCCACCTGCCGCCAACCACCACGTTCGGCTGCCACTTGCCACCTGCCGCAGACCACAGCCACGTCAGCCACCAGCTGACGCCTTTGCCGTCACTTTCTTCTTCCTTTTTCCTTGGTTTTCTACCTCTTCTTCTTCTCTTCTCTTATTTAATTAATTATTATTATTATGGGGGATTTATAAAAATTATTATGAGCAGTTTTAATTAAATAAATCAGATTTTTTACTCAAGTTTATGAAAAATAATTAAAAAGGTTCATGTACATAGAGTTGGGGGTTTTTAATTTAATTATTGTGATTATTTGTTAACCTTATATTAATTAAGGTTTTATTTATTTGTAGGGTGTGTTTCGGGGTTTTTGGAGTCCCTCGGAAGAGTTACAATTCCAAGAATGTGTTGTGCGTCAACCGTTTGTACCTGCAAAACCACAGAAAACTCCAGTTGGGTGGAGTTCTGCCTCCGACGATAAAGTTAGAACTAACGTGCCCGGATGTACGGCTTCTTTTTTGTATCCACAACGAGTTTGTGGACAATTAGATCCGGGTGGACGCCTGGCATCTCCTCCACTTTAAAGGCAAAGATGTCTTTGAATTCCTTCAGCAGTTGGTGCAAATTTGCACCCAACTTGGCAAAAGCAACCGTCCCCAGCTTAACGGTTCGTTCCGGACGGCTGTCGTCAAGAACAATGTCGATATTTTCACCAGCCGGCTGGGGGCGGAGATCATCTGACCGTTCTCCGATCAGTTATTTGTATTGCTTTTCTTTTTTGACGGCCACCAAGTGATCCGCCTTTCTCTTTTTGCCGGCTGCTTTTGGAGCAGGCGCGGCTTCCTTGAAGTCATCAAGGTCAATGGGTTCCTCGCCTTGGCCGGCTGCGGCCGCAGTAGGCTTGACGTTTGAGAGATAGCACTCCCTTGCCGTCTTCTGATCCCCATTCAGGGAACCCACCGACCCATCATCCCTCTCAAATTTCAGCAGCATGAGGGATGGGATGATGACTGCCTTGGACTCGTTGAGGGTTGGACGGCCTAAGATCAGATTTTAAGCAGTCAATTCCTCGACCACCAAGAACTTAACGACCATGTGTCGTCCCTCCCACTTTTCTCCTAGCCGGATGGGTAAGTCAATCTTCCCCACCGGATGCACTACTCCCCCCCCCAAAACCAACTAAGGGGTGAAAGACTTTGTGCATGCTGCTAGACTTGTACTTGAGCTTCGCCAAGCACCGATAGCTGATAAGGTCAGACGAGCTCCCGGTATCAATGAGGATCCGGCCCACTCGTTGGTTGACAACCTTGCATTCAATGACTATGGGGTCATCATAAGGCCGCCTGACCTTGCCCCGGTCCTTCTCATAGATGATGACCTCAGAGAAGGTGTCTTTCGACGCCTGACCCTCATCCACTGAATTGACCTCTTACTTTCTGATGTTGTCCTTGGTGCCCCAGATGGTAGGACCCCCTCCCGCGAAACCGCTTGCTATAGTAAAGATTTTCTCTTCATTAGTGTCAGAGCTTATAGCAAGGTTCTCAGGCTTCTTGGACGGCTACCCACTGTTTGTTCTTGGGTTACCCTTGGACTTCAAAACCCCCTAGCCAGTTAGACAATCCAATAACCGCCTGAGGCTATAGCAGCCATTGGTGTCATGGCCTATATCCTCATGGAAATGATAGTACTTGCTCTTATCCTAGCTTTTGATGGGACTTTATATTGCAGCCGGTTTCTCAATGGCCAGCTGGTCTTTAATCTCCATGAGGATGGAGGAGCAGTCCTTGTTGAACTCGTACTTGGGGACGTACGACTTTAATTTTTTCTTTTTCTTCTGGGATGGCCGACCAGGATTGTCCGCCACCCAGACTCCTTTTCTTTTCTTGCTCTCTTCATTTTTAGCCGGCTGAGCTAACCGGCTCTCTTTTTTGTCGGACTTTTTAGGGTCCACGACTGCTTCATGGAACAGAGCTCCGTCGCCAGTATATAGGCTCCGGCTTCCATCAAAGCTTCTTGGAGGGTAGCAACCCTCTTTCTGACAAGGTTGAACTTAAAGGTCGACCCGTCTTTCAGACCCTTGAAGAAGTCTGTGTAGGAAACTTCGTCAGACAGCCCCTAAATCTGAATTCTCATCAGATTGAACCGCCTGACATAGGACCTTAGCCCTTCTCTATCTCCCTGCTGAATAGCTCCCAAGTCAAGACTTGTCTTTTTGGCGGGGATGTTCATAGAGAAGTTGGACACGAACAAATATGCAAGCGTCTTGAAGTTGTTAACACAACCAGCTGGCAGATTGCCGAACCATCGTTGGGCTATGCCCTTCAATGTTACCGGGAAGCATCAACACCAGGCGGCGTCATCCAACCCCTGAGTACATGAGGTTGGTGTAAGCCATTAGGTGGTCTTCCGGGTTGGTGGTAATTTCATAGGTACCAACCAACACATTCTTAACCTTGGCCAGCTGAGCTGCCTCGGTTATCTCCCTGGAGAACGCTGACGGCTGTTCCCCAAGGTTTAGCAGCCGGAGCTACCAGTCCATTGGCTGGACATCTTGTGCCGCCTGACCCCCAAAGAGGGTTGGCTGCATGTAGGGTGATCCATACGACATGTATGGATGTTGGGGCACATACGGAGCCGGTTGGATGATTTGAGGGCCAGTACGTGCGGACAAGCCGCGTGACTGACTCACTCGGTTTGTTTCCGAATACTTCATCGAAGTATTTTGGAAACTGTCTGGATAAGTCGACGTTGAAGCCGACTTAGACAACTGTTGACTTCTCTTTTGCTTGATTAACATCCGGGCATCTAAGTAAGTCTTTTTTTTATCCATCCGGCTGGACTAGCCGGATGGCCTTCCTTTTCCCTGCTTCAAGGAAACGGAGTTTTGATAAATCGATCACGTGCCCATCTGTCCCCTTTGGTTTAAGGTGAGGAGTAGTCACACGATCCTTCACATGCTTCCTCCCTGAAGGAGAAGGCTTCTTGGCCGACTGACCCTTGTTGGTGCCAGTTGACTTGTTTATCAGGTCCTTGATCTCCCCTTTGAAACTCGTCATGAGCACGAGTTCGTCTTTAGTAACGGAGGAAGCACCGTCCGCCGCCTAGGGTTGCCCAACTGGCTTGACTTAGACCAGCTTTGTCTTCGCCCCGTTCCCTTGTTTCCTTGGAACGGGTGCGTCTTGTTCTGAGTGACCCGTCTGGGGCCACATAGGTGTTGACATTAAAGTCGTCACCAATTTCTTGGTCTGTATAGACCTCTACTCCGGCCAAAGGCCAGTTCTCATTAGCAGGCGGTACAGATTGCTGTGAAGCCGTCTTAGAAGTACTCTCCCCACAGACGGCGCCAAATGTTTCGGGGTTTTTGGAGTCCCTCGGGAGAGTTACAATTCCAAGAATGTGCGTCGACCGTCTATACCTACAAAACCACGAAATACTCTGGTTGGGTAGAGTTCCGCCTCCGACGATTAAGTTAGAACATGTCCGGATGTATAAAAGTGCGGAATGTAAAGGTTTTTCTCTCGGATTCTGAGAGAATTCTGCAATTAATATTGCTCGGGTTTTGTGTGTATATTTTTGAATGTGCAATAAATGAGGATTTTCCTCTTATTATAGGGTTTGGGGATCAGTTCCCTTTTCATGGGTTGGAGTGCCACATGTCACCAGAGGGTTGGTTCTTCCAGAACCTCTATGAGGCTGATACGTGGCAGCATGCTATTGGCCACTTGGACCGGGTATTTTTACCCTAAACAAGGTGTGTTTGAGCGAAGTTCTTGAAAGTTCCTTTTTGTTGCTAGCAAGGATCAAAGGTACGTTTAGGTGGCTA